CAGCCCAGAACAAGGTCCTGGAGAGGACACCCTCACCATGCAACCACGAGGGACCAGGTGCTGAGAGAAAGAAGGACCTGTGACCTGGTGTCACTGCAGGCTGACTAGCCGTCCTCTACACTCCTGTCACCACCGGGGTGCGGGTTTCCTGGTTCTGCCTCCTGGTGACCAACTTCAGGGAGAAGCCAAGGACAGGCAGTGGCCTCCAGGAGAAGGGGACACTGGAGGGAGCACATGCCACCTGCTTTCTAGGGTCAGTGTCCTCCTGGTGCAGCGTCCCAAGGTCCCCGTGTCCTGGGCCCAGTCTCCCCTGGTGCAGTGTCCCCAGGGCCCATGTCCTGGGCCCAGTCTCCCCTGGTGCAGTGTCCCCAGGTCCCGTGTCCTGGGCCCAGTCTCCCCTGGTGCGATGTCCAGGCCCCCATCCCCCTGGCCAGAGTTTCCACCTGGTGTAGTTTTTCCCGGGTTGGTATAGGGTGCCCACTGTCCCTCCTATTACCCCTCTTGTGCTCTCTCTGGGCTGGCAGAATGTGGCCCTAACACCTGGTGGCCCCGCCGCCGCCAGGCCCTGCCATTCTCGTGGGTTTGTGCCTGGGTCCTGATGTGGACTCTCCTAGATTCACAAGTGGACACTCCTGGCTGCAGTGTGTGGAACAGCAGGTGCATCCGTTTCTCGGGCACAGGGACAAGACAGCCCTGTGTCTGGAAGGTGCCCAGCGTTTCCTCAAGTCACCAAGATGGCACCAGTGTGGACCGCCCTGTCCTGTCTGTGCTCAGGACAACTGCCCGTTTACTCTGACCAGTTCTCTACTGGCACCTGTTACTGGGTTAGGTGCCGGTGCTGCAGATGCAGTTACATGAATACAGATAAGTACATGCAGCTGTGGGTGCAGAGCAGCACATGGGCTAATACGGAGCTGCAGCTGTGGGTGGAGAGTGCACAGGAGGTGACACGGAGCTGCAGCTGAGGGAGCAGACTGCACAGGGGCTGACACGGAGCTGCAGCTGTGGGTGCAGAGTGTACAGGGGCTGACACGGAGCTGCAGCTGAGTAGCAGAGTGCACAGGAGCTAACAGGAGCTGCAGCTGTGGGTGCAGAGTGCACAGGAGGTGACACGGAGCTGCAGCTGTGGGTGCAGAGTGCACACGAGCTGACACGGAGCTGCAGCTGTGGGTGCAGAGTGCACAGGAGCTAACA